ACTGAAAAAATACATCAGGGTTGTATTCATCGGGGGCATTGTGAAAATGTGCTTAGTCATTGTTTTTGATCTATAAAACATATCTTTATTATTTAGTAGCTCCTCCTGCACAACTGGGAAATTAACTAATCCATTTTACAAAAAGAAGATTTGAGTAGAGAAAAATGCATGATTCTAGGCTGAGCAGACAACTTAATTTTGTCTCCACCAGCACCAAGAGGCCAAAGTAGCAAAGACAGACAGAAGGAGATTCACATCCAGTGGGCTGGATGTCATATGGCAAAGCTCAATATTGGTAAATAAATGATGGGGACAGTGTACGGAAGCAGAGAAGAGTAGCATGCTAATAAATTACCTCTATCTCCTTAATGAGACAACATTAATTTTGGTCTCAAGGTCTGGCAGAAAGTGAGCTGATTTATTATATACCTTTAACTCTGTGGGAGTTAGTCTCTTTACCAGGGGGACGGAACGCTGATTTTCAATGCACAGAAAGCCCATTGTGCCCCCCAATCATTTATCATGTCCGGATGTTGTACTCCAGACCCTGTGGGAAAACTGGTGCTAGTGGACAGTGTCCCTGAAAGCTGCATGTCTCACAACAGACCTGAAGGAAGAACAGATACAGGAATGTGCACATATAGGAGCAAGTTGAATCGGGATGAATTAACATGTCAATGTCTTTCGTGGTCCGTTGCACTGTGTTGACATGTTTTTAGTTCAGCCATTTTATCGGAGTGACAATCTAGAAGCTCCCGAACTTTCTTTAGTCTCACTCATCAACAGGGTGAAGGGTCTTATCAGTAGGTTTAAATAAACCAGCGAGGATCAGTGACCCAGTGGGAGTCGATAATGTGCTGACAACGACAGAGAGCACAAAAGCACACAGGGATTACTTTAAGGGCATGCAGGGCAGGCTGTCTCAGGGCTGTGGTAATGATTGAAAAATATGCCTGTAATTGCTGATAAGCTCTTTAATGTTTCAGTAAACTCCTGTTGGCTGCTAAGTTTACTGAGACATAACTCGTCGATAAACTCTGGCTTTGTAGTGCGACGTCAAGGGGCCGGCGGTCTCTTTGAACCCGTTGTCTTCTCACGGTGTGAAGACTGCAAAGGGTTCAAGAGGCCAAGTGCATGTGAGGACATGTGTGAAAGAAGGGAGTGAGAGTTTATTCAGAAGTGACTGTTAAGATGAATACAACTTTCTTCTGGTACGTCTTTCGATTGCTGCTGATTTTGACTCCACATTGCTAAAGTGTCGGCAGCAACACAGTAAATCGTGCTGGTCTCATCGTGCTGGACTGTGGCTGACCCTGACCTCTAAAAGGTTTTTCCCTAATGGATCAATAAATACATTTATAGGTGTGAAGCAAAACCCAATGGTCGTAAAACTTATTAGGCAAATTAAGATTTTACCTGATGACACTGGCGTACCGCTGACTAAAAATGCTTGACTTAGATATCTTTGGAATGTCACACTACTGTACATATATCTTGAAAACCTGAGTTAAGTATCTCAGTTGTCATTTTAAATTTTGAAGGGCAATCAAGTTCGATGATGTCCATACACAGAGTAAGGGTTTTATTGTACCAGCAAACTCATTAGGAAACTTAATGCACCTGTACCACGCGGGAAGGTGACTGTTAGTGGATTACCAAGGAAGTCTCAGCCCTCCCAGGACCCCCCAAAATCCCTGGGTTAACTGCATGTCAGTTAAGTTGCAATTTGTTTAATTGAAAATGTATGTAGGGCTTTGCAACACTGAATTTCATTATCAACTAAAGACAGGAATTCCCATTATGTAATTGTTTGGCGCTGTCTTTAAGAGGGGCCTTGTTTAAAATTCAGCCTAATTATTTTAGTTTCTCTTTTATTTACATTATGTATTTCCTACATAAAGCTGTGTTTAGTTTGATTTCCTCGTAAGGGACCAACAAGAAGTATTTACCCTGCAGCCCCCAAACTGGTCTTAAATTGTTTGTCAATAAAACTGCTTTTATTCATTTATTATTTTTTAATCAAACTTGTTTGCTTGCTTGCTTTATCAGTCTGAATCATTTAAAGTTCGAAATCATCCTGGAAACCGAAATGTTCTGGTTTTCTGACCTAAAAAACATTTTCAAAGCATTTAAGGCCTTTGTTGGCACATTTTGACAGACCTTAAGACAAAACTAACTTATATTGTCTATCGTGGCTTATATGCACACATGCAGCAGCACCATCTGATGTCTTCAAGGAGAGCCACAGTGTGCGAACCGCTGCTCAGCTGAGCGCAGTTTCAGGGCACCGATTCAATTTAATTTGCGCGCCTCTGTCAACAGGCCCGGGTGACGGATTTACCCGTGGCCTGGCTATTTAAATTACTTTCAAATCATAAAAGCAAGGGAACGAGCCTTTGGAGGTGGACGAGGTTGAGAGAAACAGGCAGAAAGCAGCACTGATTTCCCTGGAGCAAATTACCTCTATATCAGCGCCGGAGACAGGCGGTAATCTGCCTGATAGAGAGCAGAGGGCGAGCGACACAGAGCCACACTGGTGAAGGAGAGAGAGAGAGAGAGAGAGAGAGAGAGAGAGAGAGAGAGAGAGAGATAGGTGGGCGGACCTGCCAGACCGCTCCAATTTTCTGGAGGTCAACTACGCGCGCGCGCACACGTACGCGTGCGCCAGCCAATTACATATCATGAGTTGGGGTCTTCTCCCGTCCCATGTAGGCTAGTGTTTCATTCATTTCTGCAGAATGGATTTCAGTTTCCTGAGACACGCGATTTAGAGGCGTTTTGGGTGGAGGCTGGAGTTTGGATTAAGCTGTAACATTGTGACATCTGCACTGGCTGCTTGTTATTGAAGGTGTTTCAAGTGAAGAGCCGATGAAGCCATTTAAACTGGTGAAAACTCCTGAAATGAATGTGTTCAAGACTAGACTTTTATTTCTGGAGGCAATTCAATTTACTGAATAATGTCTGCAGGGCTGCAACTAACGATCATTTTCATTATATTAATTTGAATAAGTTCTTGATTAAACATGCGATCCCTTAAAACTCAGTAAATATGGAAAATTGCCCATCACCTTGTAATGTTTTGTTTTGTCTGAGCAAGAGTCCAAAATTAGCAGATATTGTGTTTGCCATAGAAGACGAATAAAACCAAACAAACTGGTAACAGTGAATCTGCCATTTCTGCATGTAGAAAAAAACCTTAATTTACTAAATAAACATTGTGCTGTACGTAGAAGACTTGAAACTATAGTGGACCATAAAATCATGTTTACAAAGTTAACTAAAGTAATAAATCAAGTGAGAAGTAGAGTCATTTTCCTATAGACTTCTCTACAACAGGCTTCTTTTTGACATACGAGGACATTAGAGACCCCCTGATGGCCATTAAAATATAATGATAGTTTGAGGCACTTCGGCAGTGGCTTCACTTTTCAGACACTGAGGTTCGCCGCTCGGGAGGAACTGATCAGATTTAGGAGGTCAAAGGTCAAGGTCATTGTGACCTCATGACCGCCTCATTGCGTGTATCTCAGGAACACCTTCGGCAAATGTCTTCAAATTTCGTACAAACGCCCACTTCAACTCAAGGACGAACTGATTAGAATTTGGTGGTGAAAGGGCACTGTGGCCTCATGTTTTTGGGCCATAACTCAAGAATTCATTTTCTAATCATAAGAATTTCTCACAAATGTCTAATAGGATAAATTGATGAAGAGATGACATGAACTGCAACATGGTCAGCAAAATCAGACAACCGCTTGGTAAATCTAGTTACATTTGACTACTTAAAATATAGACATGGAAAGTGTAAGCTTCCACATACTGAGCACATTCAGATGTGATTACTTTTAGGTTAACAGATAGGTAAATAATACAAAGAAAAAAAGATTCTGTATTCCCCCACCAGAAGAAATCTACAATTTAGAAAATACAATATTTTACTGAGGAAACAACTAATGAAAAAACTGGACAATAAACAATCATAGCGGCTTTTATTTTGTGGGTTGTTGGGGGGACTTGACTGGCCCTCACTGTCAGCTTCACTATCTTCTTTCACATGAAGTTGAATCAATGTTGAGCATCATGTTTGCATCAACATGCAGATTCTCAATATAAAATGGTAATTTAAAGTCTCAAATAAGAAGCATTATCTTAATTCATAACTTGACACACTGATTGTGTCTGCAGCACTAAGGTTTTTATCTTGCTATAGCCTGTTATTATTTTAGGTTTTATTTTTGTCAGTGAAGTAACAGACAGAGCTTGCAGACACGCAGCCATATTGAAAAGAATCGACAGACTTCACTTCAACTGATGCACCTCTGCTTTTCAGGTCTTAAAATGGCATTAGTTCACCTAAAGCAGAAGGCCAATTAACTTATAGCCTCTTCTGCCAAGTCATTACACTTTTATATGGTTTGTGTGCAATTCCTGGTCGTAAACTTTAATGGCATTGGTATGGCCTGAGTATGAGAACGAAGCAAGCCATTAATATTAATGATTTAAATACTGAACTGGACACAAAGCTTTTTTTGTTGTTTTTTCTTTTAACTCTACCCAATCAGAAATATCAAGGCTGCTGATAAACGTTGCTAAGTTGTGGAGGATGTTTGCAGCACTAATAATTAGTTTGGACAATCAAAGCGGTGGATATAATTCTTTGTTTATTGCAAGGTAGTTGCAATCTGTGGTGAGTATGAGGAGCTGGCAGATAGATACTGGAAATACAATCGCCTAATCTTCTAATGTACCTCCGCGCTTTGATGCAGTTGAAGGTGTTTGCAGGCGGGACAAGGGTTGGACATTACCTCACTCTGAATGCTTTCTGGGGGGAGAAACGAGCGAGTAATTAGCTGATTAGAGGCCCGTCAGAGCAGCTCTGCGTCCAGCCAATCCCAGCTCACAGCGCCATGCAGGGGTAGAGAGGGACGGCTGATGGAGTGAGACACATGCCTCTTTGTGAAGTTAGTGGTAAACACCAGGACAGACGTACAGTAAGTAGCCTGTATGTCGCAGAGTGACATATGCAGGTACAGTTCAAGGAAATAGATGGAGGAATGCGCATGCAAACGTCAGTCAGTTAGTCCGACAAAAAGTGTTTTTTTTAAGTCGATAACATACAAATTGAGCATGTATTAATGTTCACTTTTGCATAGCATATCTTGTGGTGTTCCGTCCAGCCTGAACGTTCATGAAAAGAAAAGGAGAACACGTGAGTTTGTGAGTGGAAGAGGCTCCGCTGTCCGCCCGCTGACGCACGGCACAGGTGCGCACCCGCCAAAGCTTGACACGTTTGTTCGTTTTTTTGAGTGAAGCCGTCATGGAAAAATCCAAAAACTTCAGAATTGACGCCCTGCTGGCCGATGAGACCAACCGCGTGAGCCGAGACCTCTCCCCAGGTCTGAGCAGCGACAGCCCCGCAGGCAGCCCGGTCTCCTGCCGCCGCGCGGACACCCCGTCTCCACGGTCCGCACAATTTCAAGGATTAATCCACAAACCGGGTGTTCTAAATCTCCCTCATCCAGGACTTGCTTCAATTTCCGGCATGTATCACGCACCCATGTACCCGTTATCCGCGTTGGGTGCTCAGCACCCCGCGTTCGCATACACCGGCTTCACACAACTAACACATACCTACCCGGATCACCTGAAGGCGGCTGCTATGGCGGGATCTCTGCCCCTGGAGCACTGGTTCCGCGCAGGGATCATGATGCCACGACTGCCAGATTACACCAGTAAGTATATATTGACCTATACGTGAGTGATTCCGATGTTTTCTTTTGATACTTCAGGCCTATGCTGACAATATGAAATAAAGTTTTATATTTAAAAAAGCAAGAATATGTGATCAAATTATATTATTGTATATGTCCAGAATATCCGGACTCAAAAGCCAAATAAACTGAGAGATAAAAAAGTTTTTGTTATTTAACTTCTTCAAACACAAACTCACATGTGTGTCACTCTGAATCGTTTTCCGTTATCGGGTTTTACAGCTTTTAATCAGATGGTTTGACCTCTGAAGAGCCGCTCAGGTGTTGTAAACTCATTGAACACAAACACTGACTGTCAAATGAAACTGATTTTTGACTAAACTATTTATGTTATGTTTGGATTATTCATAATATTAGGCTAATATATGCAATTATTACAGATGGCAGGCTTAATTATTTTTTAGCATACGTTATAGCTCGTTTTTGCTTGTTTATTTGTTTGTTTGTTGTCTTATTTCCTTTATAAAAATAATACTCAATTCGGTATTCAAATTATATCACTTAAGTCTGCCACGGAAAATTTGTCCTTTTATGCATCAGGATTTTGGACAAAAAAATGTCGATGCAGTCTAAGATGAGACACAGAAACAGGCAGTTTAAACTTTTGTTTTTTATTATTCAAAGGGAAAACGCTCTTTGTCCTTATTCATTTCACAGGTAGAATAATTTTACTTTGCATTTTATTTTTGTTATCCAAGTCAGGCTTTGTAAGCTATTTTATTCAAGGTTGGGCTATGGTTTTCATATATTTTGTGGTAATAATAGCCAAATCGTCCTGAACAGTAGCTACTGGCCTCTGTTGACTGCGTATATGTCATATTTGAATTTTGGCCCGTTTATTTCTCTATAAACGCCAACATGATGAAAACTGTCTTTGTGTGACGAAGAAACTATAAACAAACACCTAAAACGTTCTGTAGTTCATCAATAAAATCCCAAAAGCCTTCATTGAATTTTCATTAACTTAATGGCATGCCTGTGTTTTTATGGCCTCTGCGCCCGCTTCTGCCGTGTCCCCGCGTCAACAATAAACTGGAGTAAAGCTATTATAGTTAATGATGGCGAGAGAGTGCGGGCATATGTGTGCCTGTTCCTAAGTCACAGCATTATATTGAACTTCCATGTCCTTGGTATTAAATAAATAAGACTGGCAGTTAATGGCAACATATTTAATTTAAGACTTGAATCTTCTTTAAAGGGCAGATATTTCAAAATACATTTGAGTTGAATTATCAAAACAGAAATATTCAGACATTGTGTGTTGAACCTAAAAATAGCCCATGAATCTCTGATATCAAATAAGTTGTCATAAAATCAATAACACATTGAAACTATTCATTGAATCTGTCAGGTGAAGCCAAAAACTGATAGCTTTGCTCTTCCTCCTGCAGCGGGCCCTCAGTCTGGTCTGTTGGGGAAGTGCCGGAGGCCTCGCACCGCCTTCACCAGTCAGCAGCTGCTGGAGCTGGAGAACCAGTTCAAGCTCAACAAATACCTTTCCAGACCCAAACGCTTTGAAGTGGCCACCTCACTCATGCTGACTGAAACACAGGTACAGGAAGAGATACCAGTCCACTTCACCAGCCATCAGATTCATTTCATGGTTAAAAAGAATAATTCTCAGAAACAAGAATGAGGGGAGGACTCATCCCATTGAATACTCCTCAAAGTTTACTGAACTTAAGACAAAACATTCTTGTTCAGCTCTCATCCAGTCTCAAAACAGACTTTAACAGACTTAAGAAAGAGCTGCCATGTTATTCGAATGACTCCTGTGCGTAACAGGCTTTTGATGAATTTAGTTGTTTTATTTATAAGCCTAAGTGATTGAGAGATCTCTTTTTCAGCAGTGCCCTGGTCGCGATATGAAGCAAAATCAGAAAAATAACAACAGATATTTGATTATAAAATGTCAAATAACATTTCCAATACAATCGTATGAAACGTTTGCATCCTAAAAAAAACAAACCATCAGCTGTCTGAAAGCATAAAAAAAGAGTAAAGTTAAACAAACCCATAGCTGTGTGTAATGTGTCACTGTGAACTGTTGAATTAATATACTTTCATTCTTGAAACAGTTATTAATTGTTCAACAAATTGTGACTGACATGCTAAAATGTCCCGTTATGTAATTCAACGAAGAGGAGTTTATTTGAAATTACGGGCAAATATGACATGCAGAGATGCAGATTGTACAACACATTAGGACACATTACTGGATGTTTTTCATTATTATTGTGGTGATATTGTAATGTCTGAACTGAGTTAATTTCTCCAAGAACTGAACGAAGACTTTAATGCATTAGGCTTTCGATGTAAGATTTAAATTGTGTTTTTTGTTTCTATTTTTATTTAAATATTCTTTCATAATTCTGGTAGAATTGATGAATTATATGATTAGAGTATATTTGATTAACAACATTGATCAACTACAAGTATGTAGTTTAAAGGTAAGGTGTAAGAGCAAAGATAAAGAGTTGTGTTTGTGTATATATATTCTTATTTATTTATGAAATGATTTTTGAGTTGTATTAGAAGTTCTGCAGAAGAAAATTTGTAATTTGCTCTTCAATAAAAAATTATATTTTGGACCATCTTGTGAACACATTTTCTTTGCTCTGTCATCTCTCGGCAGGTCAAGATCTGGTTCCAAAATCGGAGGATGAAGTGGAAACGCAGCCGAAAGGCGAAGGAGCAGGCCTCCGCCTCGGCCCAGTCTGAGGCAAAGCAACGCAGTGGAGGAAAAACAGCCACAGACAAATCAAATGAGAGCCGACAAGCTGCGAATCCAGACGACAGGGGGATAGATCTTGATCAGGAGGATGGAGAAGAGGAGGAAGAGGAGGAGGACGAGGAGGAGGACGAGGAGGAGGAGGAATTTGAGGAGGACGCCCAGCATGCTTTTCCTGTTGGGACGCCGCGAGCCACAGACTTCTTGCAGCGCAGCACCGATGTTGACTACAATCCCCACAGCCCTTTCTCTGATGAGGAGCTGGAGGGGGTGCAAGTAGGAGGAGGTGACAGGAAGATCGGGGCAGGACTGTGAGCAGACACTCAGGAAACACCAGTTTGGTTTCCAGAGAATTACAGACACATTACACTGGGACATGTCTGTGTTTGTGGTCACTGCAGTTTCCAGACAAAAGCCACAAATATACTTTATAAAACCATCTGTGAATAAAATCTTCTCTATACTGTATACATTTCGTAGCATGCCAAGAAAAGAAAAAAAGGTTCTCATTTCCTCCCAAAATGTTGCTGTTTTCATGCCAATCACCTTCTGGTCACCTTGTGTTTGCTCCATCCACTGACAGCTGGAGCTCCACCCAGTGAACACACACGACTGAAGGATGCGTACAGTGTATGCGTACAGGATGCACAGAAGCCTAGGTGCAGCCTCCACTGCATCATGACGACAAACAAATTAAAAAAACTTAGACAAGCTGTGTGATGTTGGGACTGAAGAAACAACACAAGCTCAAGAACATCTGCTGCTCCAGATGTTTTGGGGGAAAACACTGCAGAACATCTTCATTTACGTTTGTGCATTTAATGTGTAAATATTGGTGGGATTGTTTTGTTCACGGTGATGTTCATGAATTTCTGCGTGTCACTTACGTGTAAATTAACTTAATTTATTTAAATGATTGCAAAGATGAATCGCACATGTATTTATCTGAAACGTGTTTGTGGTGTAACTGTGAAATACAAAAAAATAGAGCAAAATTTAAAAAAAGAACTGAAAAAAGTCTGCATTGTTGATCCATGTTCCAGATTAGCGTATCATTAATGCTAACATGCTTATGTTTAGCAAGTATAATGTTCACCATCTTGGCATCTTAATTAGCACTACACACAAAGTGCAGTTGAGGCTGGAATCTCAAGTTCTGCAGGTATTTAGTGATAAACCAAATACATTTTTGTCTGATGGAGCTAAATGACAAGTCAGAGGACCACCAGAGTCATTGGGATTCATCCTCTGGGGACCATAAATGTCTAAACAACATTTCATGGCAATCCATCCAATAGATGTGGAGGTATTTCAATCTGGACCAAAGTGGACCGACAGACAGACATAAAAAGTCCTATTAAGACAAAACTTGTGACTCGATCAAAAGAAAGGAATACCACAAAGGTTATATCCGACATAACAGAAGAAAAACTCCTTGTGTCCACATCTCCTTCAACTTCTTTCGTTTTCGTTCACAGCCACCGCGCTGCCTCTGGTACAGCAAAGCAAAGCGAAAGCAATTCTCAGTTACTTAAAATTTATTACAAAAGCTCTCAGATATTAATTACTCTGTGGGGTTTACTGATGGCCAAATAATTAAGTTAATGAAGAGGAAGTAAAGCCATCAAAAGCCTGATGGTGATGTCACACAGGCCCATTTTAATTTCCAAGTGCAACAGCATGATGAGTGTGTGTAACTGCAACTGTGACGGGGCGTTTTAATGGCCACCCATGTAAGGGTTGTGATTAAAGAGCAGATTGGAGGACATGCAGTATGGTGTCATTTGGCCCCTTCTCAGACCACATGTCACATGTTTATATAGTGATTAAATGCATTCTTAACTGGCTGGACACACACTCACACCCCTCTGTAATGATTGGAAGTGCATTTAAACACTGATGGGACTTTTAGTGGAGACTAGCGCATGTGTTCTGCTCAAAAACAACAAGAAAGTGTTAAGAGTCTCAATGTTATCATGTAGAGACTTTATTAGATAGCTTCCACTTAAACGATTAAAAGTATCACTTTTCACAGGTTTCCTGTCAATGCAGCTGTCAGATGAAGGTTTCTCGATTGGGTCCTTAGACATTGATTTCAGCTGAATGGTCACAAAATAAAGAGAAAAACGTCGATGCACTTTTTAAAAACTGTATTGTATAAAAAGGAATCTGAGATACTTTTATTGGTCAGTGGTTTAGTAGTTTGATGGCTCTGTTATCTGAAGATTTGGGCAAATACGATGATGTGCTATCATTTGAGTATAAAATGCTTTTAACTTTGAATGCAAGATCACCTGCTTACATTAAAGACTATATGTGTATCACTAACATTTCATTTGTATTTGTGTTTCTGTCTTCTTTTCCACACAATCAATATTATGCAGTCCATGAGTGGTAACATATTTTGTTGTTGAATTTGGAGGATCATGTTCTGTTTTAACTATATCGCCACTGCAAAATGTGTTTAGTTTATTGAATATTTTATATTGATATCTGTTACCAAACACAGTGCCACCACAGTATCTATTTTTTTATGAGGTCACAAATTTTGATGGCTGGGAATTTGGCCAACATTTAAAAATGATGACCAAATATTGCCATTTTATTAACATGTTATTGCTCTCTACGCTACAGTTTGTGCACATATCACACACGTGCTATCACATTTTAGAATCTGTTATATGAATATATGAGTTCACAATTTTGCTTAACTCCTCTTACAATTTGTGACCCAGTTTGAGTAATATAGAGACAAGCAAGCTAACAAAATAAAGCATGAGATTCTTTTTTCGTTTATTTCAGTGAAGAAACCTCAGAGCTATACAGAAGGATGGGAAAATGTAGATTACACAATTAGAAATGCTCTGGGATAACCATAATAATTCAAACTTTTAGTAATTTAAGTGACTGTACACTTTTAATTAACCAACCTGGTTAAGGCCGGAAGCAGCAGCATCAAATGCTCTGTTCAATTCACCACATTAACGCTTCCAGTTAACTCAAAGGACTTTAAAGGAGTTTTCATTGAACTTTTTTCAGACTTGATTTAATGGGGCTGAATAGAATACATAACAAGCTTGCAGGCTGAACCTCAGTCAAACTGCAGCTTTTAATTTGGCTGATGAAAAATCATGCGAATCAATAGGAGCTCATTTAGTTGTGTGACTTGTCAGCTGCATGACAAATAGCATTTGTCTTGTTTTTATGACACAGGCCCCTCAGAACAAAAAATCACAGCTAATTGATAAAGCAGCGCAGCAATATATGGAGGTCATTGATTCCGTTTCTCTTCTAATGTAATCTGAATACACCAGTCATGTTGATTAAAAATTCCCTGCGTAAATTGCGTTACTGCTGATAATGCTGTCAGTTTTCTCGACAGCCAGCCCGACTAAAGTGCTGACGGCCTCACCGCCTCTTTCTTTTTTTTAACCAATAATGCATAGTGAAGCCTGTGTCTTTCTATAAAAATGTTTCACCGTCTATTGCATCACCCAGCTCGCCCCTGAGATGTCACCTCGGCCCCTCAAACAGAGCGGTTACCAGAAACTCGCATGTTCATAGTTGAACAAATAAATCGGCCTCTTTTTGTGCTTTGTTGGATTTTTTTTGTGCTTTGTTGGATTTTTTTTGTGCTTTGTTGGATTGTAAATCACGGTGCCCTTAAACATATTTACACCCCGTATTTTAATCAATCAACAAAATGCCGGACTCATTACGTAAATATGAACAGATTGTGCGATCTTTTAACGCAATCACACGTATTGGTGCAGGTTTTCCCCGGGCCCTGTCCTGTCACTTAACTAATGGGCGAGTAAAGGAGTGAGTGACGGAGCCCAATAAATCCACATCTGTCCGATTTAAAACGCTGTTCCAAAGCAGGAAAAAGACACCGTTTTTTGCCAATAAAGTTTATTGAAAAGGCGTGGCGTGTATTCACATGCGTCATTAACTGCTGAAGGAAACGTCTGTTACAGGTGTTTTACCAATTATTGTGGACAAAGTGATGATGTTCGTGGCCTTTCTTGGTGCCAATGTAACCTTCAGATCTGCTGTTGAGCAAAAGGATCTTACCACGAAAACATTACAACTGTAGTCTCTGTTATTCAAATCAATCTTAAATAAAGAATGAACAAAGTCTTTTGACTTTAAAAAAAAAAAGGGTTTTTATTTCATTTGAGGGTTTTTCATAAACAAGTGCACCAAAGATAAAAGAATACAATATCCACAAAACCTATCGAAAGCCTCAGCTGCAAGTTGTTTATCATGTGCAACAACGATTACAGAAGCAGGCGTTGGCAATTCAAATCTCAAGTCTCAGCCCTCCAATAATGCTCCTTAAATGTGTATGAAACCAAAATGAGATCTAAACAAAACTAGTGCAGGTTAAAACAAGAGACAACATATAACATGAATAGAAAAATACCTTTAAAAAAGACAGTAGACCTGTATCAAAAATGGTACCGACACAGCTCTGCACAAACATCTCAGACTATATTGTCATTAACGTTTACCATGTGCGGGTGTGGATACATAATTAATATAAAATATAGAATTGTTGTCTCGCAGTAGGAACATGGTCCATGTCTGCCCTCTTGTGGCAAAAAAAAAAAGAAGACACTTCGCCTGATTTGACTCAAATCTTTAACAGAGATCAAATATATAAGCGAAAGACCGACATATGACCGTGCAGGTAATACTTCAGTCAAGGTGACACAATTTGGTCTACTGTTTCCTAAAAGCTCTGTGGTTTCTGCAGCTTTTGGGTTTTCATGAAGCTTCCTAAAATATATAGTAAATTATCAAAAACACAATTTGTTTGTTGATGGAGAAAAAAAAATACAGCTTCTGCAAAAGTTATAGCTTGCCACCATTGCAGTTTTAGATGTGACATATGTAAAATTAGTATTTTAGTCTTATTAAAAGATAATTGAGATATCTTAAAATTAGATTATAACTGGTTTGGGTTAGACCTACATCGATTATGTCAATGTAAACGTGTTAACTCTTCATTTAAACACATTCAACATCAGCATATAAAGATATAGGCCTATATTTAATTCGAGTCTCATTTTAACACAATTGTTCATTCTTACATGTCAGAATGTAATTATAGATAAGCCATAAATACATTGCAGATACCTTTATGTGTTATTATTAGTACTATTATTGTTGTTTTTGAATTACTTCCTGAATATTGTTCTTTTTGGCGGATGAAAATGCGCATTCCCTGCGCCGTGTGGCTCTTTTTGGGTGCGCTTGTGTGTCAGAGGGGCGGGCCGACCTCAGCAGGGCGGGACTCCATAGCTTTGAAGCGCATGATGAAGCATTTAAATACTAGTGAATTTGTCTCATCCTTCACAGTCTTACTCTGCCGTTTGCTGGTTAAAGCGAGTCAAGGCAGAAGCTAAACTCTCTTTACAGCCACACAGACTCGGCACCGTCAGCATGGCCTCCTCAGAGCTCGGTAAGAGTTCCCCTTCAGGTTCACTCGACTCGCTGCGGTCAATATAAAGTTTTGTTCTGCGACATCAGGATGCTAGCTCGCTGGCTAACATTAGCCAACGTGGTCGCCTTTACCTCGTTCAAACACATCGCGACTTCTCTTTTGTGGATGCAACAGTGCATGACGATGTTTGTTAAGCGTCTTTATCTGTCCTTGCAGCACTTTTGAGCGTGTCAGACAAAACTGGACTGGTGGACTTTGCCAAGGGGCTGGTGGATGTCGGACTGTCTCTGGTCGCCTCGGGTGGCACAGCCAAAGCCCTGCGTGATGCTGGGCTGGCTGTCAGGTGGGTGCTGAAGTCGTCTTTGAAATACAACTTCAATCCAGTGTTTGTTCACTAAATCGTAGCAGCTTCCCATGGGGGGGGGGGGTGTCCTGTCTGACCTGTCGGTGTCTCTGCTGTGTGTCAGGGATGTGTCTGAGCTGACTGGACATCCAGAGATGCTGGGGGGCAGAGTGAAGACCCTGCACCCCGCTGTCCATGGAGGTATCCTGGCCAGGAAAACCCCCACTGACACCGCAGATATGGAGAAGCTGGGCTACAGCCTCGTCAGGTGAGAGAAGCACGGCAAAGGCACACAGAAATTCACATTCATTCATATAACTGTCATCATTGTAAAGACATGGTGGATATTTATTTACAGTCGAGTGGCAAAAGGGTTGAATAATTCCTTCAAAGAGCGTGCGTGACCTGTGGCAGATCACAAGCTGCTGTGGTCAGAGGACGGACTGGTGCTGTCCCGTTAGAAAGCACGTGTAATTGATTAGCTGCTGCTCCGGCTACAAGCTTGTCCTGTGACTCTCATTTATCAACACAAGAAGAAGAATGGGATGATTGGGTCGGGTTTTGTCATTGGAAAATGTAACGAAACCCACAAAACGTCTGATTGACGCATTGGAAATCTATGTTTCTTTGTCTTCCGAAGTTAATGGGGAGTGTTTCAGCATGTGGTAAAAGATGAAGGTTGAGTGGGTCGTCTGATTGGGGTGTGAGAAGAAGCTCACACGGAGAGCAATGTTTGTAGTCCATGAGATCCTCGAGCACAGTGTTACTGTGATACAAGAAACATAGACAACGATGTTGAAAATGTTGCTTAAAGGCCCAACAAGACGGCCCACAGTCTGTAGTTATGCTGCAGATTGTGGCTGGTTTTGCTGAAATGACTTGTTGATTAATCAATTAGCTAATCAACAGTTGTGATAGTTGATTCATCATTTTAGTCTTTTATAAAAGAGAGAAAATGCCGACATTCACAGGTTTCAACTTCTTAAATGTGAGGATGTGCTTCTGTGTTCTTATAAAATTGTAAATGTAATATCTTTTGGGTTTTGAACAAAAGAAGCATTAGACGATGTGTGCTTTGGGAAATGTTGAGGGCCTTATTATTATTATTATTATTATTATTATTATTATTATTATTTTAGATGTAGAACAATATATATAATCACAAATGGATTAATGCAAGTAAATGTTGCCCTAGCAGCTAGGTTGTGGGACAGAAAATCCTGCGGTTTTTCCCAAATAAAAGGTTCAAAGTGTATAAAAGCAAGCGGATCAATTTGAGTCATTCTTGCAGAAAGTCCCGACTTCAGTGTGGGAGGATTAGTTCCTCTCATCAAACTCTAGAGGAGCAAGTGTCTCTTTTCATGCAGCGTTCAGAAATAAACTGAGTGGATTGAATAAATAGAAGTTAAAGTCGCCCTGAATGGAAGTCTTGTTGTTCATGATATGTATGTAATATAAGTACGTGTATTGATCTTCATCATCGTTCTGTGTTTGCTCTTTGTCAGAGTGGTCGTGTGCAACCTCTACCCATTTGTGAAGACCGTCTCCAACCCGAGTGTTGCGGTGGAAGATGCTGTGGAGCAGATCGATATCGGTGAGATGTGTGCATGTAGTAAACTATCCAAAGATGGATGTGTCGCATTGCGTTAAGAAAAACTATCTATTATTCCCATGTTTCTCTTTCTTCTCAGGTGGCGTAACTCTGTTGAGAGCAGCGGCCAAGAATCACGCTCGGGTCACCATACTGTGTGATCCTGCTGACTATTCGGTGGTTGCCAAGGAGATGGAGAGTTCAGGAGACAAAGACACAACCCTGGAAACCCGAAAGACTCTGGCCCTCAAAGTACCGTCTTTCTTTCATGTGTATCTTGCGTGTGTGCATGAACTGAATTTGTAGACTAGCATATTCAGGGTGACCGTTCTGACTGATAACTTTTGCTTGTTTTCTGTGATAGTAGATTTGAGTATCTGTGAGTTTTGGACTCTATTGTGACTAAACAAGCTGTTTCAATATTTCATTGGCTTTGGGAAATCCTGATAGGCTTATAATCTTGATGCAACGCGAGAGGAGGACCGGGATGCACCTGATGTCCTTTGTCATGATCCTGAGCTGAACATTTTGAAAGTGGCTTTTCAAAGTGGGAAGGACTTATATTGTGTGTTTCTATCGGCCGTCCTCGATCTTCTAATCACGTTTTCCTCAAACATCCGGTAACCCCGCCCCGCCACTGTCTGGACTTGTTCCAGTCTAATCTCTATTGTGGGACAGACTGTTTAGGAATAAGAGGTGAATCTTACCTTGTAGCTTATTTGAGGTATGAGCAGGTCTTGATAATTGCATGACAGTAACCTGTTTAGATTCTTACACAACATGAGGAAATACCAAGAGGGTTCTGAGGCAAAAGTCAGTTAATATAATAAATGTTTATCATATCACTCAGTTGAGAGAATTCTCCTCTTTAGGCCACCGTATTGAGTTTCTCTCTGTATTAATTCATGTTGATGGTGTTTGCTTAGAGGTGAGGGCCAGTGCGAGACAAAGTCCAGAGGACGCTTTCTATCACAAGTGTTGGAATGTGTGTTTAGGTTTAACCTCATGACTTGTAGTCTGACTGAGTTAAATAGATCAGTTTAAGCTCAGACATTGTGTTTCTTTGGGGTGAAGTCTAAATAGTTGTCATAAAATACTCATTACCTGTTTTTAAATTATTGTAAATGCGTTTGAGGTTTATTACTCTGGCTTTGGTACACATTAGAAGATGATGATGATGTAATCGTGGGTTTTTGTGTCATCAGTGTATTTGATGTGCTTTGCTCTTCAGGCCTTCACACACACAGCGCAGTACGACGAGGCCATCTCTGACTACTTTCGTGGGCAGTACAGCCGCGGTGTTTCCCAGCTGCCTCTGCGCTACGGCATGAACCCTCACCAAGCACCCGCCCAACTCTACACGCTGCGCCCAGCCCTGCCGCTCAAAGGTAAGCCCGCCGTCAACAGGGATGAGAAGATTAATGCTGCTATTCGACATTATATTTTTGTTTATTTTGTACAGAAACTGAAGTGTAAAGAAGACAATTTGCCGTTTTACAGAAGGTTACGCCGGGCAGCTACTTCAGATAAATTCAGCAGATTATCATTCTCAAAACAACGACTTGTCGTTCATGCGCTTGTTTAATTTAAACAAACGATATATAACATGTGCTGCTAGGTGGATTTTGTTCTCTCTACAGTGCCAGGCTAGCTGTTTTCCTATCACCAGTTTTTAAAAGGCATATTTAACCGACAAATATTAGAGTGGTATTGATCTTTTCATCCAACCTTTTTGCCAGAAACCAAATAAGTGTAGATAACAAATAAAAGGACAGGGATTTTGACTGTGATGCCCTGCCCCCCTAAAATGAACATGTCGGAGAAGAGTTGATCCAAGAAATATGACCGTAGTAGAAAGAGATGAGGATAAAACTATACCCTTATTCTGAAACGTCATTACTTTTGCCCCCTCTCAGTGGTCAACGGTTCCCCCGGCTTCATCAACCTGTGTGACGCTCTGAACGCCTGGCAGCTGGTCCGAGAGCTGAAGAGCGCCCTCGGCATGGCTGCTGCCGCCTCCTTCAAGCACGTCAGCCCTGCTGGTAAGACGACAGGAGGCACGCGGATACACTCTTTGATGTAGAATTTAGTGCCTTGAATGTGAAAATGACTGTTTTCACGTTTCCTCTGAAGGAGCTGCAGTAGGAGTTCCTCTGACGGAGGAGGAAGCCAAAGTGTGCATGGTGCATGACATGCTGAAGGAACTCACCCCGCTGGCCACGGCCTACGCCAGGGCGAGGGGTTCAGACCGAATGTCTTCTTTTGGAGACTTCATTGCTGTGTCCGATGTGTGTGACGTTCCCACTGCCAAGATTATATCAAGAGAGGTAAAACTGTCATTGAATAAAAACAAATGAAAATGATTTTTTTTAGTTGGAGCAATACTTTGCTGAACCATGATTCCATTCGCTTGCTCTCAGGTGTCCGACGGTATCATTGCTCCTGGGTATGATGAGGAGGCGCTCAAGATCCTCTCCAAAAAGAAGAATGGCAACTACTGTGTGCTTCAGGTGAGATCTATTTTATTTTTTTTTATTTATTTTTTTTTAATCATCCTCTTTGTATTAGTACGTAAGGATTGTTACAATTGGAGCTTATTTTCTTTCTCCAAGATGGACGCAGACTACGAGCCTGATGAGGCTGAGGTGAGAGTGTTGTTCGGTCTCCATCTCAAACAAAAGAGGAATGGAGCTCTGATCAATATGGAATTCTTCAGCAACGTGGTTTCCGAAGGCTCGGTGAGTCACTGTCGTGCGTTTACTTTCTCATCCTGCTTTGCCATTTTAAATAATTATTGACATCGCTCTATCTAAATGAAGAGTGCTCGCCCTTTTTGACTGTTTCTATGTCCCCCAGCTCTCGGAGGAAGCTGTGCGTGACCTCGCTGTGGCCACCATTGCTGTCAAGTACACTCAGTCCAACTCTGTCTGCTACGCTAAAGATGGACAGGTAAGAACAGGCAGCTGTGAGGAGAGGGAGAGGAATCTGCATGAGCTACACGTCTTTCTCGAATGTTCTCTCTTGTGTCTGTTTTACAGGTTGTTGGTATTGGCGCTGGTCAACAGTCTCGTATCCACTGCACGCGGCTGGCGGGTGACAAAGCGGATAACTGGTGGCTGAGACACCACCCTAGTGTCCTGAGCATGAAGTTCTGCAGCGGTGTGAAGCGAGCGGAGATGGCCAACGCAATCGACCAGTACGTCAGCGGCACCATTGGAGAGGTGAGGGGGGTAACCATGGACAACAGGCACATTTCAGATACAGCAGCAGTTAAGTTTAGTTGTAAAAAAAATAACCTGCAATGATACTTTTGTCACTGTCATTTTGGAAGAAAAGACCATTCACTATATTTGCATTTTATATACACCTCTGTATTTTGCATTTCTCCCATTACTGGTACATTTTAGATATGCATAGACACATACAGGACACGTATGCACTCTAACAATGCAAAGAACAAGAGAGAAGTTGCTATCCTGTGGATCATAGGGTTATAAATATGTGACTGTAGTGGTGTATTAGATTTCACCTGATTATTTGTGAGCAATACTTTCTTTAAAATTGCTGTTTGCCACCAACAAACACAATTGTTTATTAATTCATTTTAACTGTTTGATTTTTAAAAAAATAAAATCAAACATTTTTCTAAGCAGCCTCCAAAGTCATGAATCGATCATAATGGAGAATTACATCAATGGGCTTTCGGAGTCCAGAAAAATATTTTTCTAATCACATAAGTTGTTTGTAGAGGATTTAACACGCACGTACTGATATATTTTGAGCAAACAAATATCTATAACTACTGCCACAGAGCAGGCTTAGCACTAGTGTGGCTAGTAGCTGATCATCTTTGTTCAATAAATAAACCGCTTCTGACTTTTTATTCAGTGAATAGTCAAGTAGTGTAATGCTATTCATGTTGGTGGCTGCTCATTCTTATCGGGTTAGCTAGCGCACCAAACAAAGCTACTATTGCGACATTAGATTTCACTTTATTTCCTTACTTTGCTGGATCCGTTTAAATTGTTCCCACAGCGGCCATCACGTACACACGGCCCACAAGTCTGCTGGTGATGTCTGATGTTCAATGTCATGTCGGAGATGTTGAGAATAAATGAAATGTTTTGTGTTGACAGGGCCCAGACTTGGCAGTTTGGAAGTCAAAGTATGAAGAGGTGCCTGAGCCCCTGTCAGAGACTGAAAAGAAGAACTGGATCAGCTCCCTGCAGGCCGTGGCTGTCAGCTCTGACGCCTTCTTCCCCTTCAGAGATAACATAGATCGGGCCAAGATGGTAAATACAACGCACCTTTTCCCGAAAGCCTTGGCTCACACTGTATGCTATAAAATCTCCCCTTTTGGAAACTATTTACTCTTTCCGAACGTCTTTACTAACGTTTGTTCCTTCTTTGTTTCTGTCTGTAGAGTGGCGTGAAGTACATCGCAGCTCCAGCTGGCTCTGCTGCTGACAAGGTTGTGATTAATGCCTGTAATGAGCACGGCATCACTCTGGTGCACACCAACCTGCGGCTCTTCCACCACTGAGCACCTCAGCACTTTGGGATCATTAGTCATTGCTGGTACTCTAAACGTTCCTACCCTCATCACGCTAAAGTGTAGAGGTCCCACTGTTTTGTAACGAATCACCAACATTCCTTACTTGAGATCCTAACATCAAAGAGATGCAGTAACTTTTCAGTGTGAAATAAACTGTAATTGACAGATCATGGTTTTGTCTTCTGTACGTCGAATTTTTGTGAATGCAATATCTCGTGAAATAACTGGAGGGAATTTCATCATATTTTGCACAAATGTCCACTTGGACTCTGAGGAACTGATTAGAATTTGGTGGGCAAATGTCACCTAGACCTCACAAAACTCGCCCTTGCCCATAAGTCAAGAGTTCATATGCTAATTATGACAATTTCAATCAAATGTCTAATAGGATTAAATGATGAAGTAGTTATGTTTTTGGACGGATGGAGGTAATCCATCGATTAAAGTCGAACTATGTCCGGGGGGGGAGTTGTATTCTAAATAAAAAAAAAAATTAAAAAAACATGTCTAAAAAGTCAAACTATTACAGTATGTTGAAAGAAGTCATAGTATAGTAGGTCTAAAAAAAGACTGACTTTTTTTGGACATGCTATTAGAATTACTTTTTACCTTCTATACCAATACTTTTTTTTTAAATTTTAATATCCTATCACTGTTTTCTGACTATTTTTGACAAATGATACTATGACAAAAAACGGACTTTTTTTAACATCCATTCCTTCACTTTTTTTCGATGTTCTACATTTTGACTATTTTCAGTCAAACCTTTTAGGACGCACTACTATGACTCTTTGACATACTATACTCTGACTTTTATGAGTTGTCAACATACTCTGACTTTTTTCAACAAACTAAACTGACTTTTGTATTACTTTTTGGGACCGACTATACTATGACTTGTCATGAAACTGACTTTTTTCGCTTTCGAAACAATCAAACTTTATTTCAGGGTCCAGATAAGACAGATAAATACAATTGCATACGATACTAGGACTTTTTTATGACTTTTTCCAACATATGCTGTCTTTTATGATTTCTTTCAGAAATCCCTTTTATTGACACAACAGACTTTCCCATATTCAATACGAGGCCTTTTTTTATGACCAACATACTATTTTTAACATGCTATAACATTTTTGATACATCACTTTTTTTAAATGCTATACAACTCTTTATGAATTTTTGGGACATACTATACTTTTTTTTTTCCATCATGACTTGTAGCTTGAACTATATTTGTATGACATACTGTACTGACTTATTTCTATACATATGTCATTGTTTAATTCTATTTAGCAAATGTTAGTATGCTAAAATTAACTTTGATGATGAATATGCTAAATTTTGTACCTAAACACCAGCATAATAGCATTGTCTCTTGTGAGCTGGTCAGCTTGCATATAGCGGCATATAGCTCAAAGCAATGTCTGTCTTATTAAACACAGTTTAATGATGGTATGTAAAAAGCATGAAATCTAAATTACTCTGAGGAACTTCTAAGAATTGCAATTTAATACTGATGCCTCTGTATTATGAACATAAGTAAACTAGACAATCAGTGAGAAGACTGTTTCTTTATAGTTATTCTCAATGCTTTTTATCGGTATTGAATTTGTCACCTTCAAAAATGGTTTCATTTTGAACCCAGACATTTTTCACTGATCTTTTTATTCCTTTAACCTCTTATTTCCAAAAAAACAACAAAGAAAAACATAATGTGCGTAGGTTTTAGGATCTCTCCTGCTTTATTAAAATAAGGGACTTCTTTTTGTCACAAGGTAGAAACAACATTGGCATGGACAACAAAGTATAAAAATAGAACAGTTCAAATTCTGTCATCCCAGTTCACACATTCACACATTGAGATTAAAGGGATAAATTAGCAAAAAGACATAAGAATGTGTCAATCACACACAGTGTGACCCCTCAGTAACAGATGGGCTACAGAAAAGAAAAGCACAAAATTCAGGGACAATTTCAACATTGTTGATAACTACATTGACGTTCTTTAACACAGTGCTTACTTCCTGACAGTTTCTGCCCTTTGATTAGGAAGCGTTTCTGAATATTTAAATGGACAACATATGTCAATTTGAGAAGTATATAAATCAGTTTGATGACAAGTCCTATATTACTTCTATTGAAGTACACACAAATGTGAGAAAAAGCGAAAAAGCAGGAGTCTTCATTTTACGATTGAGCATGAATTTAGAGACTTGATAGTGAACAGTGAAAAGACTGGCTTTAGACGAGGATCACTTTGATCAGGCAGCAGGGCAGTGTAACATCTTTGGCTAAACATGTGTCAGAAAGTGATAAGGCAGTTAGTTTAGTCGCAGACAGTATGGCTTCTAAATGGTGAGACAGTGCATAATTGGACAAAAAGGGAGCAAAGCAGATGTCCATAGCTTTACTCCAGAGGATTTTGAGGAACGTGTGCGTCTGCCAGCAGGTCTGGTCGGAGGCACTCAATGGGGCAATGAATATTCTGGAGGAAGAATTGAAAAAGGTAAGGTCACATGCCTAGGTACCGTACAAACAATCCTGTGTTGTCATTACATTTAGTAGCACTCTTCATCAGTTAGTATAGTGAGCCAAAAATAGATTTAAAAAAATCACAGAATAGTATGTCATGAACAATTCATAGTATTCATAGTATGCCATCAAAATGTTTTTGTAAAGTATGCCATCAAAATGTTACAAATAAGACATGGTATACTGTGTCATAAAAATGTCATAAAACGTCATAGTATAGTATGTTGTAAAAAGTAAAGTCATAATAATCCATACAAATCTCATGCTATAGTATGTAAAAAGGCAAAACTAATTTAGGACAGTACGGCATACAAAATATATCATAAAAAAATCATATACAAATGATACAAAAATAGTATGACATAAAACATAAAATACTGAGAAATCCTTTGCTCTAATTAAAAAACAACATAATATTACTATTAAAAAAATAATAATAATACAATTATTTTACATGAATTCCACTCACTTGTAGTTTGTTTCCATATCTCACAGGTTGCAGCAGACTGGCATCGACATCACCACCTGGTTTGCGGCAGTTCTCACATCGCCAGCCCTGATGAGACCAAACACACACAAGCGCACATGCTTCATTTAACTCGCAGAAGGACCACAAGTCAATCACAAGTCAATATATGTATCAATGAACAATAGACCCAAAGCCAGGGAGGCTTGTACGTCATACCTGCTGTCCTCCAAAGCACGTGCAGGTGCAGATGGCACCCAGGTACTCCTTCTGCCACTGGTTTCCCACCTGGTAAGTTTTGCCATCATCATAGCACACCGAATCATCTGTATGGGCGTACATGCACGTTTAGGTTCAAATGCAACTCCTTCACATCCTTTTGAGACAGTCATAGAATATTTCTTAGGGTCTTAAAAGGTTCCTTACGGGGTTCACACTTGAACTCTCCTTTGCCATTTCCCAAGCAAGTACAGCTCATCAAGTGACCATTTTCTGCGCGGCGGTCCCACTTCTCTCCAATGCGATGGTTGTTGCCATTGTCATGGCACCACTCTAATGATGGACAAAGTAATAATTAGAGAAACCAGGTAAAGTTTACTCTATTTCCAACTATGCGTATGTACCTTCAGGAAACAAAATATTCAAAAAACTTACTAGATGAATCGCATCTGAAGTGGCCACTTCCCAAACCCAGGCACCTGCACCACAGCTTGAAGCCTGTCTCGGACATCCGCTCCCATTCACCACCAACATCGTGGTAGGTTGAAGTAAAGGCATCAAAGCATGAGTCCTTAGTGGAGGGCACTCCCTCTGGGACTGATGGAAGATGGGCGGGGGAAAAAACGAGAAAACAATTTGCGTTAGCCAGTAGTTACTTGAGGATTGTTTCACTGCCATTTCATTGGGATGAACTTCTTTTGGGCTACGATGGCTTTAATTGAATTGCTTATTAATAATTACATTTTTCATCAGTGTCATATCTCTACGTCGCCAAACTAAAATGCAAAAACAAACAAACAAACTGTGCTTCTCAAGGGAACCTTTATACTAAGGTTTCATTGCATTAAAACACAGTTGCAGTGAATAAAATACTTATTTATTGACTTATTACTATTTAGGGTAGGTTTATGAGCAGGCTCTGCCAATAGTAGGTACTATTTTTGCTGCTTGCGAAGTGAAAAATCGAATAGTTGATCATATAAAATAATGGCCGTGTTTCAAATGAGGGGGTGTCAGGGGTGTGACCATCACAACTGCAATTATTCAGTGAATTAAAACAGGTTTTTTTGCTAGAGAAGAGAAGCTCAGAACAGCAGAGTGGTGAATATGACGTTACTCTGTTGTTGAACTGATGGAAGAAGTGTTTTGAAATGTACATTATACTAATTAGTAAAGAAACAAGTACTTGGAGGAAGTTCTGAGGTCACATTGACCGTGGTACAGGGAGAAATGCCAGGTTATCTCTGCCACTGAGGTAAATCAAGGCTCTTAATTAGCAGAAGTCGTTTTTCACTGAATTTTGACTGAGTCCAGCCCACTTTGGACGCAGCAGTTGCTGTAGGGTGCTTACTTGTGTTGCCGGCAGTGACGACCTGCTCCAGTATCTTGTGTTTGAGCGCCCCCATCAGAGCCTCCACCATCACATTATAGTTTGCTCCGGGGGAGAGTCCTATCAGGGTAGCAGTGGTGGCTGTGCCTGGAAGGCGGACCTGGACAGGTAAAGAGAGACAAGGTTTGTCCACATGAGATAAAATAGTTCATCTAATAAGATTGATAAATTATGCTCAGACGGTATGATGGACTGGGCTGAACTGGAACCCAAGGCCCTCGTCACTTACCTGGAACATCTTCTCATTTAAATGTGTGAGGGGATGGCAGGACACCACGTAGGCGTTGCTCTGCTTGTAAGGCTTCCAGGAGATGGAGGTCTGAGTTTGGGCCTCCTGCGGCACACCCGTCTCGTTACCAAACGTGTAGCCGATCGGCAAGTTCAGCTTCAGGATGGGCACTCTGCGGCCCTCTGCATCAGGAAGGGGCAAAAAGACCAGGGGCTCACGAGCTTGCCCATAGGGAGACTGTGGGTTGCCACCGTTCCCATTATATCTGTTGTTGTCTCCGTTGTTGTTGTACTCTGTGTACTCCACATTCTGGCTTTGACCTCCTT